ACTCTAGTGAACATTAGCTTTCCTCTAGCAGGTTTTACTACTAGTTTTGTACGAAACCACTAAAGCATGCTTCATGAGTGAAAAAGCATCGAGTCTAAAATAGTGATAGTAGTCATGAGTACTCTGCGGTTTACATGATATATTCTCAAACATACTCCACAGAACAGTCCTCAATACCATTGCAAATTCGTTGATAGAAATTAGTAGAAGTCTTGGATCTAGTCTTTCTTCCGTTGTTTATTCTCAAGAAAACATAATTTCAACATCTTTGAAAGGCAGAATCGTAATCTATTCGTGTGGTTACGAGTTTTCTAAGTGCTACAAGCAACGTCTTTTCCTGCCTTTTCTGTACCCTCTCGATGTATTACGATAAAGCTGCAAGCAGGATGAGCCACGTGGATTAAATACGGTCGCATCTTCATTATATGTTGTGAAGTAGCTTGAATCTTTAATTTTGAGCATCGGCTAACACATAATTATTGCAGCATTCAACATTCTTGCGAATTTCTCAACGAAATTGAATCTTAAATCTACCTATCAGTTTTCAATGATATGCTGTGAGATTCAAAATGAGAATGTTCAAGTTAAATCATATTATGATATTTAAATCATGGCTTTATAAGATGAAAACTGGAACACTGTGATTGTGTATTGCCCGATTCTTTTGAGAGCGACAATCACAAAACATAAAAAATATATGCTTTTGTTATTATAAGCAAAAATTTTTGAATGAAATCAACATTTATTTTTCAAATTAGATTAAAATCAAGAAATGTCAAAAGCGTCAGTTTTCTTCAGAAATATAACCATCATGCTGCTCTACTGTACGAATGCAGAGATACTCACATTTCAAGCAAAACTCACTTCGTATTGTCTTCTTCTGAGTTCCACTAATCCTCTTGAATTTTAAATATATATGATAATAGACGTTTGTATTAAGAATATTGCAGAATTGTTAACCTAATCATTTCAAGTATTATGAGTTACCAACCCCTTATCACTCTGGTGGTAACGAGCTAAAGTTCATTTTGAATAATCCTCTGAATCTTTCAGAGCAAAGAAACTGTTCCAACTAGTCTCAGGTACCCGTATCAATGACCAAACAATTGTTCCCATGAAAAACATTACTATACTATGCAAATAATCGGATGCTATTTCAGTTTATCATCGTTGCAGAGTGCTGATAGACTTCGCTATTGCATGACGCACTGCTTTTAGTCCCATAAAGCAATTATTCAACTACTGCAATACAACTTCTCTATCATCATTCTTTGTGGGAAATTCCTGAAAAGTCTCTTAAAGGCAGAAAAACAAATTATACCATTTACTTATCCTGAAAATCTTCCAACAATAATACTCACCGAGATATTTAAGCGAGACCTTCTATATGGAGCACTTGCCATCGAACCCTTACCAGTCTAAAAATGTCATCATTCTGTTGAATATTTGGAGCTCTGTCTACAGAGCTACTACTCAGACTTCCACAAGAATCCATATCTTGATCGCTCTGAAGCACCTGATCCGTATTCATAAAACCCGTATGACGTCTCGAACATAATGTACTTATCACTTCAGAGTAACCCTGTTTTAAGGTTTCAAAATCATGTGTATTCGTAGCAGTTTTCACGCTCCATCTGGTAAGGCATTCTCAACGTCGAAACAAGAAGGTTTCTCCAGGTAATTATAGAGCAAAAGTTTAAAATTGATGCGAACCAGATAGTGTCTCCAACATAGGGTACTTACCATGTACGGATGGCTATACATTTTAAGATTTAAAAATCATACCGTTTCGCAGCATCTTTACGCTCTATTTACTAAGGTATTATTGAGGCGGAAGCAACAAACTTTTACTTTACAGGAATAGAAAACAAGTTTACAAGTTATGAAAACCAGGTAGGTTTCGAACATGGTGCGCTTGTCATGTCCTGGTGGCCATGCTTTTTAAAGTTTCAAAATCATGTGGCTCATTGTCAGTTTTCACGCTCTACCTAGTAAAATATTAACAAAGTTGGAGCAAGAAACTTTCTCTTAGCAAACATAGAGAAAAATGTTACCATTTATGCAAAATTGGGTGGGCTTTTGAACATAGTATACTTATCATGTTCTAGTGGCCATCGTTTTTAAGGTTTAAAAGTCATATGGTTCTGTACAATTTTCACACTCTATCTGCTGAGGTATTATCGAGGTTGAAGCAAGAAAGTTTTTCTTGACAAGTTTAGAGGAAAAGGCTTCTATTTATGAAAACCAAAACAGACCCCTGAACATAATGTCCTTACCGAATTCATGTGGCTATGCTTTTTAGCCTTCGGGTATTATATCATTTTGTAGCTTTTTTCACGCTCTATCTGCTGAGGCATTAGCGAAGTTGAAGTAAAAAAGTCGTCCTTGGCATTTTGTCCATCTAAGTTACTATGTATAAGTCGGATACATATAATTATGGACTTAAGGAAAGTGTTAAGGAAAAATCATTATGGTTTCTCGAGTATAATATGAAAATGTTAGGTAAAACTTTCTCTTTCGTTCCATGCATGATTCAGTGGTGTTCAATGGAAAAATATCCAGTGGGCCGATTCCGGTTCTTATGCGCCCCCCTTGTTTGAAGTCTCTGTTATTGAAGTCACTTGAAGTCTTTGGAAGTCTTGAAGTCTGAAATCTGCTGTTTTCTCCTCGCCGCAGCCCTTAATGAACATGATTCAGAATTAGACTTAGATCCAGATGAAAGTAGCTGTGATGAGGTAGATACTACCGAAAATTACACCGATAATCAAGATTCAATCGATGGCGACGATGACGAGGATTATCTACCTGATCATCTTTACAATGTTAGTTGGACTACTTTTCGAGGAATGCTGGTTTTTGACTTTATCAATTCAACTTTGGCTAACCTAAGTCGTACCTCATCGTCAACATTAATGGTACAAAAAAATATTTACATAAACAGACAGGTGGTTGACTTCTTTCAAATGACAAGTCTACTTTGTCTTCAGATCGTTTAAAACGTTTTATGCCTAACAAATAAAATATATTTCCATTCGAAGTCTTCGTATTCGAACCTTATCTTGTCTTTTCGAGGTATTAAATAAACTTTTGGAAGGTAATTTTGGAGGACACCAGAGGTTTAGTCTGCTTTAGTTTTGCTCGCCAAGAATATTGGAGCAGTTTATTTCGTTTTTTGTCATCTGTATATTCAAGTTTTCTATCAAAATTTACGTATAAAGTCACAGTATTTTCCTGTTGTTCAGTCATAGAAGTATTATATTGGTCGAAAAAGAGCTTGGACTGGTGTTTTCTCGATATCAAAGTAAGTAGATAGTCGCTGTCAATCATTTGCCAATCGTTTATCAATCATTTTCAATCAAGTCAATCTCGTAAATCAAAAATTCAGCTTTTTCCCTCTCGCCTAGACGTAGGAACATCGAAAAAAAACGTGGAAACGAAACTAGAAAATATAACACAGCCTCAGATGTATGTTGAATATTAGGCAGTTATAAAAATCTTACTGAGCACGTTAGAAAGTTTCATGTTCAACTTCTGATTCTGAGTGTTGTATCAGACTTGCGACGAATCAATATATAACTGCCTATAAATAGAGAATCATAAATATATACTGGCAGGAAAATCTGTTTTTCTGCTGATTTGTAGCTGTGTGAGTAACACTACTGTTCAGGTTTCGTCCGTCTAGAGCGCAAATTGTGCTCGTCTCGCACTTCAGCACACTATCCTTGAGAATGCTAATTGTAAAACAAGTGCACTTTGAAAGAAAATAAATATGGGTTGACTTTCTTGATGAAGATAAAAGCCTTTTCATAGTGTAAACCATTTAATGGCGCAATGACTGGGTGAAAAATGGTTTCAGTTGACGTTTTTGTGTTAGATGAATGCTGAAGAATGAACATTTGATCTGGTGTATGAAATAGAGAAAATTTTTAAAGCACTTTTTTAGGAAGTGTGTTTTCATTATTTCTATCGATCATGCAAACTGTGTTAAAGCGAACTGCGATGCAGATATATATATAGTTTTTTTAAAGACGAGCGGAATATAATGCAATAATGCTGTTCAAGTTTCATCCATTGTAAACTTATGTCAATGTGAATGCCACAGTTCACATGTGAATTCAGTTGAGTTTGGCACGCATGCTGATATCATGAATTATGCGATCATTATTGTTTGTTGACTATTGAGCTTATCTTTTCTAATGATATCAGTCCTAAATTATTGGTGGAAATTGGTATGATATATTTTACATTTTTAAAAATACTTGCATAGAGAAAATTTTCATTTTTAGCAATTATTATTTGGTAAATATTTGAATTTTATGAATTTTATTTGTCTTCTCATAATAAATTCATTGATGTTTGTTACAATCAAAGATTAAATCAAGAGACACACTCTATCTCTGTTTGTTTTTAATTACATAAATTATTGAATTTTGTTGTGTGAATCTGTTTTCAAAAAAATGAATATTTCCTTTTCTAAACTTCAGCTTTACATTGATAAACTTCCTGACAATAAGCGTATCGAGTAAACAATCAACAATCCATATATACGCCTGGAAAAAAATAGTTTCACACAATTTTGTCAAGATATATTCCTTATGAAGATACACTTTTAGAAAAATAATCCCATATTCGGATAGCACTTGGAATTCTCTATCAGCCCGTACTTTGCCAGCCTTGAGCTGTAATTATTTGCTGACAAACATTTCGACTATTGTTAATGTATCCACGAATAACATTCCTAGTTATTGCATTTCATACCTCCTCAACTAATTCTTCCAAATGTTTTTGAAAGTTCGGATGATATCTCTGCACAATGTTATTCATCTATGGCCAAACAAGCTCAATAAGATTAATGGCAAAAGATTTTTTTTCATTATTTTCTCTAGGAAAAATGCACACAATATGTTCAACATTTTTTTTCTCTCTTCCTGTTGCGTTAAGAACATAATTGACTCACAGACGTCTATTTCCGCATATAGTCTGTATATCATGTATATCATATGCATGAACTTATATTGCATTCATTTTCTTTTTGTCTCGAATACGATCATGCAATTGTGATGAGCGTACATTTAACTCTCGGTGATCGCTGGCCAATTGCTTCATTAAGTCGAGATCAAGGATTAAGTGCCAGTGAAATAGCTCACGTTATTCATTGTACGAGTCGTACTGTCTACAATATTTTACGATTATTTCTGGATACCAACGATGTAATTGAACGAAATGGACGAGACCGTCGTGACATGCTGAATACCGACGAAACCATTGCATTAAGACGATTATTCTATCGATATCGCGACGAAACTTCAATGAGTATTACTACTCGATTTTTTCACCGAGTTGGTTGTTCTATTACCTCTTGGACTGTTCGAAATTATCGTTGGCAATGGAGTTTTCATCGAGTGCATGCACGAAGCCAACCGCTGATTAGTGAAAGACATGCTCAACAGCAATTACATCTTTGTGGACAATATGCAAGAAATAGTTGGCGTAAGGTGATATTTAGCGACAAAAAGCCATTAGAACTTGATGCTTCCGGCATAGTTTACTGGATTCCAAGCAATCGCCCAAGACCCACACTTTTACAAAGTCAAGCTCAATTTCGTGTTGTGATATTCGATGCAGTATGGTACAATGATCGATCAAAATTAGTTTTTGTTCACGGTCGAACTAATACATTCACATATGCCCGACATCTATAGGCAGCATTGAATTCAGATGTACATTCAATAAGAGGATATTATTTCATACACGATCGTCCTACCTAGGCACATACGACAGTAGGACACGACTGGTTATCTGCTAATCATGTACGATGTTTGGTTAATTATCTGCCTTCCAGTCCCGATCTAAATGCTGTAGAACGTGTTTGGTCATGGATGAATAACTTTGTACAGAGATATCATCCAAACTTTCAACAACATTTGGAAGAATTAGTTAAGGAGAGATGGAATGCAATACATAGGAATGTTATACGTGGCTATATTAACAATACTCGAGATTTTTGTCAGCAAATAATTACAGCTCAAGGCCTGCAAGTACAGAGTGATAGAGAATTTTAAGCTCTATTAGTGTATATAATTACTTTTGTAAAACGTTATTTCTTTTTTCTTTTATAATAAATGTGAAAAACGAGTGAAAAATGGAATAATAAATGCAGTTTCTGAAAATCTGAGGATGAGGGTGCCTTCATAGTACTCAAAATATTTTCCAGCAAATGAACACAAGCCAAGAATTTTATATACAGGGTGATAGAGAATTCCAAGCGCTATCCGAATAGGGGATTATTTTTCTAAAAATGTATCTTCATAAGGAAGATATCTTGACAAAACTGCGTGAAACCATTTTTTTTTCAAGGCGTATATATTCTTATTATTACTCAATCAATCGAAAAACAAATCAACTACTATTGCAAAGATCGCCAATCGTTCAATTTAAATTTTAACAACGAATTGAACAACACTAAAGATTTAACTAATCATTCAATGTTCCCAACAGAGACCGTTAGAGGGGAGGGCTGCCATAACGCCCTGCCCAGCTCTGATACCAGGGCAGGACACATTTTCAAGTTTTAGCCCCGCCCTGTGCCCTGATAAAAAGTTTTTGAAAAATCTAATTCTAATCAATTTTTTCGATTAAAAAACGATAACATTAACACTATTTTGACCGAGTAAAACTGATTTCTAAAAAGCAAGTTTTAACTGATTAAACTTTATCTACAGCTTAAAATTGGCTAGAACTCTAGTCAAATTTGTTTTCTTCTGTTGATCTCAAGAAGTATGCATATCATATAACTTTCTTGCTCAAGAAAAACAAGAAGTTTATGAACATGAAGAAAAAAGTTTTACTAAGAAAACCAAATCAAAAGTTGTCTTTTCACCTGAAGACCCGACTTGAATCGACTTAATTAAAAATAGCCGATTTTAATTTAAAACCTTCCTCCTAAGAATAGAAAGTCATCCTATATTGGAAAGCTATCCATAAGAAAAATTTTATAAAGTATAATAGCAGGCTATGGGTTTTCCTAAATGTTTTTCGGAAATTCTGTGAATTTGCAAGGTTTAACATCTAAAATCTTACTTTTTTTAATAAAAAAACATTTTTTTGTAATTTAAATCACTTTTTTTTCTAGCAAAACTGTTTTCCAAGTAATATGTCTCGTATTTCGACATATGATGGTTAGAAGTGCCTATACAAATATCAGAAAAATTCTTCAGAAGCTCTTAATTTTTTTAGGTAAATGCTAGCAAAAAACTAGCTCGCAATACAAGACCATTTTTGAAAAAGCGATGTAAATTTCCATAATAGAAGGGTATTGACTTATTATTCCGTTGAACTATGGGTGTTACTTTATCTTTTTTCATAAAATAAACACCAATAAATTCTTTATCTGTATTTTATAATGATGAAGAAATTCTTTATTTTTGAAAAATAAATATAAATCGATGAGTCAATCGTTGTGATTAAAACCTAAAGCTAAATATAATCGTTATATTCATAAAATAAAGATAGATTAATTGTTTACTTTCAAAAAATTACGATAAAAGAATAAAGAAAGGTTTATTTTTATAACAGGCAAATAGACAAATACCTAATATAATAGCAGGATATGTTAATGAATATTCTTTCTTACACTAACATAACTTCGACATGTGATATTATTAAGAATCATGCTTATACATGAAAAAATATATACAACAGATTTTTCTGTATATTTCATTTTCATCTACGGTGTCATAACTTTTCGTGAACTACTCAGTGAAAACTAAAGATTGTCTTCTCATAGAAGAAAAATTTTCTTTATTATTTATTTTATCAATCTTTATTTTTCTTCTATTTACATCTATTTTTTCAAATAAAAAGAATTTCTTTATTTTCATTTTATAAACATAAAAATTTTATTTATACAGGTTCTCCAAAAAGTATCCGGACACCCCAATGTTTTTTCATATTTCTAATTTCTTTTGAAATAGTTTACATGGTGAAAATTACCTTTAGTTATTGAAATATTATGCCAACAGATTGAGCTCGCTTTGCTCGTTCTAGCGGTGTGCAAATAATATAATTTTGATGACAGAAAAGCGAGGACCTAACATATTGGAAAATCGCACAATTTTATTAGAAACGTTCCCACAATTCGAGATGACTATCAAAATTGCTGATTTTTTTATAGAGAATCTAGTTTGAAGTAAGGACTTTCGACTGGTAAAAAAAGAAAAATTTTATGTCTTGTTTCTGCTTGGTAAATCAAGAAATACGAAAAGACATGGGAGTGTCCGGAAACGTTTTGGAGTACCTGTAGTTATCCTTTATTATAAATAAAAATAAAAATAAAGTAACGCCTCTAGGTGAGACGAAAGGGTAGAGAAGTTGAACTTGTCGGTATTTTGAGTTCCACAAGCTAGTGCTAATCACTATCGCACTTCGAAATATGGCGTGTATCAAAGGTTGGTCTAGTGTTACACTTATCAATGCAGAGGATGAGGAGCTCACAAAAACAACTGAAGTTTCCAAATTAGAAATTCAGAAAAATGCGTTTCACACGCATCGCGATTAAAGACAGTTAAAAATCGAATAACCTTATTAAAATAGAAACACTTTAATCAAATTTCAAGCATCAAAAGGTTCTATAAAATTAGATTTGTTTCTAAGTTTTAACACAGGTATTGTTCTTTAGTACGCGATTTTGTTGATTGTCAACCCAGTTTGATTTTGACATTTTTTCGAACCTACACGAATAAAATTTTAATACTAAATTTGAAAGCAACCACATAAGTTCTATCAATTTTTTAGATCTAGTAATAAGGAAACTCAATTTAGTAGTCCTGCTCTGCGCTGAGGGCATGGCATAAAAAGTGCCCTGTGGCGGTCTCTGGTCCCCAATATCCTCGTGCTCGAAAACAATTTCGAATATTCAGAGAATACTAAATTAACAACAAACTATCTAGAAACAATCTGCATCAACGACTATTAGACATACACATTTCAATCATACGAAAATAATCACTAACATATGCTTGTACAAGAAAATAATAAATATAGTCAATTATAACTCTGTATCATTTAAAGAGCAATGTTTACATATTGTTAACAGTTAACAAACAGCTAAGAATGTGAATCCTATAAAAACCAAACAACTTGTCTTAGTCATATTCTAACGAAATCGATAAACAAACAAACGGAATAAAACGGATTCTAATCTCAACTAGATTCCAAACTCAACTTGTAACAACTTACGAGGTAACACTCCCAAGTGATCCGCTCCCTTTTGATTCATTCATACCTCATTCGACAGAGTGTATTGAGATAAGAAAAAGCTTAAAAGGATTCGTGCCCATGGTCTACCGATGAAGATTTATGGTCATTTTACTGAAATTTTTACTATGAACCAGGCATTTAGGGAAAAACCAAAATGAAGAATTTCGACCTGAAATTTTACCTATAGATAGATTTAATAGTCATTAGATAGTCCTGAAAGTTTCAACGACAAGGAACCTGTCTTTCTC